GTGCTTAGCTATGGACTCCCAAGACTCTCACTGCAGGACTGAGCTGCTGGGGACTGGCAGCTGGGGGCGGGGGCTAAGGGGCGGAGGCTTGGGGGCGGGGGCTGGGGCGGAGAAAAGGAGGAGAGGAGGAGGAGGAGGAGGAGGAGGGAAGGAGGATGAGGATGAGGAAGGGAGGCTGATAGTGAGTGAGGGGAGGAGGAAGGGGAGACGGTAGCGAGAGGAGGTGGTGGTGGAGGGTGACAGAATAAGGGGAAGATGATGGAGAAAAGAGAGGGATGAAGGGAAAAGAGCAAGAGGAAGGGAAAGGGGATAGATGGAAAAACAGGAAAACAGAGTACAAGGAGGACAGAATCGGGAAAGAAAGATGGGGGAAAGGACGAGGACGGAAGGGAAGGAGGGCAGGGTGGAGGAAAAAGAGGAGCACGAGAGAGGGAAAGGAAAAGACGAAGTATGGGGAAGAGGAGAAGGAGGCGGACAGAGGGAGAAGAGGAGGGGGAGGAAACTAGGCAGCGGCGGAACTCATGTTGCTATCTTTCGGCCGACGACCTCAAGTGGGGCCGGGCTACAGACACCGCAGCTGCCCGGGCAGTGCTAACACCACCGTAAAGCTGACAGTCGGGGAGGGCCCGGCCGGGCGGCCTCGACGGCTCCAGCTCCCCATGCTCGGGGACCCGGTCCAGCCCCCCATGCTCTGGGACCCGGTCCTAGGAGCTCCTCAGCCCTGCGAGGGGTGCTTATCCCCTCCCTACCCCCCCCTCCCCGCCTGGAGGACAGGTGGGGGGTTCGGCCCGCCGCCGCGGTGCCTCCTCTTCCTCTCTTGGGTTCTGATGGCCCGGGGGGAACCCCTTGGGGCCAAGACCAAAATCTACAACCTGCCGCCTCTTCCGCCTCCCACGCTTCAGAAGCGGGAACCTCCACGGGGCCAAGTCTTCCGCGTCCGGGCACCTATCAGGTCCTGCGCACGCGCCCGGCGGCAGCGCCAATGAGCCCGCGGGCACGGAGCATGCGTGGGAGCCCCGCCCCGCAAACCTCCTCCAAAGTGGGAGGAGCGTTTCCAGGGGGCCCGGCGCCTTCCTCTATGGCATTGGCCCGGGGACCCTGGCGCCCGATTTTGAAAAGAACCAATAGTTTGGAGACACTGGAGCATCATCTTTCAGGAGGAGTTTGGGCCAATATTCGAGGGAAATGGAAACTTGTGGTTTTCACGTTTTTTCGCTCCCAGTTTGTTTGCTCTGACCTCTGTGATCCCTGCTCGCTTCTTAAATCCCTTGATTTTGTTGGCCTTTGGAGGGGCTGATCTCTTTTTCAGATCATCCATTTGGTTGCACTAGACAAAACGGAAGTGAAAAAATAATGAAAGTTCATATGGCGAGTGGCAAGGAGTCATCTCCATTTTGCAAGGCTTCAACGATGTTAAGAAAAGTCCTGAAGAACAAGTAGCAGACCCAGAATTTTTTTTTTTCTTTCTAGGATTTATGGAGACCCTAACAATAGCCATTCGGCACGTGTGAGGCCTGGGATTATTTTATTTAACAAACACCTACATAGCAGTTACTGTGCTAGGTCCAATTCTAAGAGCTTTAGAAATATTAACTCATGTAATCCTCACTACTTGAATGACCCTAGGGTAAAGATGGCATTGTATTGTGTTAAAATCATACATACAAAGAAATATAGGAAATTTGCTAGTTAGGAAATTGGTTTCAAAATTTAGCAAAACTACTTTTCCTGCCTCTTCAATTTAGTTATCCCATATTAAACCTGCCAAGCTCAATCATTTTATTCCTCAATGTTAATATTTGCTCCTTGTAATGCAGAGTTTCTAAAGCTCTTTTGCAAAGTTTCCTTTAGATTGCCTACATCTTCCTGCCAACTGGATTAGAAACTCTGTTTTTGATCAATGTATTTATCTCTTTTTATTTCAAGGTCATAGCAACTCCATCATCTGCTCAAAAAAAAAAAAAAAAAAGTACAGTCTCGTGTTCACAAAAGCTACTGAACAGTCATTCGCTGACCACATGCAGAGTCCCTAACTCTGAGGAGTCCAACAATTTAGTAGAATTGCTAACGTTCAGAAGCTTAATGATTAGGAGAAACTCAAGGACATGTGAGGATATGGATGCTACCTTGGCCATCATTTCAAGGTTCAATTCACATATTCCTGCCTACCTAGTTTCTTTCACTTCATGGAAATCTTTTGGGAGGTTTGGGGTGCTTGTAACCTGTGGCCTTGGCCTCAACTTTTCTCTGACTTACCCTTATGATAACTAACGGTTAAGCAGTTGCTTAAAAGTTGCCATAACAACTGGTAAACTAGACAACTGATTATCACATATTTGTGGGTCACCTTTTATAATGAAGAGGCCTGGCACAGATGGCAGCAGACTGGGACACTCAAAGACAGGAGTAGCATAAGTGGCAAGGTATAGATCTAAGCAAAATGGCAATCTGAGATCATGGCATATTGCTGTGGAACAGCAGGAGCCGATCATGAAACACAGCTAGGTTGGTATAATCATGTATAAAAATGGGAAGAAGTAAAAATAATTTCTTCAAATATTGTGTTTGCCACTATAGTATACAGAATTGTTTTTGTACTACTCGTTCCTTTTGACATTCTAACTTATGCATGTACTATAGGTTCCTGGCATTTAGCTACCCTTTAGTTAGAGAGTTCCTCCTCTTTGGTAATAGCTGAAAACTTCCTGCCATCTTGGGTACGTAGTTGTTTCATATTACTACCCCTTTTCTTGCAAGTCTCTTGGTTGCTCTTTCCTTGTCATGTTATAAGCTACTTTCTTAGTGTTATTGTACTTCGATTTTTAAAAATTAGATATCTGTAATGCTTAGGCATGATGATATTGTCTGTTCATTCAAAATATATCTATTAAACTTTATTACTTGCCACGAATATCAACAAACTCTTTGAAAAGTAAAATGAGCAGCAGAGTGGGAGTAAGATCTAGTTCTTTTCTCATGTACTCCCTCTCTATTTTTCTGCTATTCAATTTGGCTTTGACCCCATTCTGTATTTAACCACGGCCTTTGACATCCACCCTGACTTACTCAGCTTTAACTACCATCTTTCGTAAATTTTCCAGGTACCCTGGGAACTTTAACAGTGGCTTTCAGGAGACCTTGGTACCAGCTCAGATTCTACTGCTACCTAATTATGTGCCATTAATCTCTCTGGAATTTTATCAACTGTAAAATAGAAGTAATTTGCCTTCTTTACAAGATGGCTGTGAATGGCAGGTTATTTAAACCTGCATTTATTCATAAAATAATTTAAAAAGATTTATCAAGTGTTTATGAGTACAGAAATAGTATCCAGAGAAATATCCGGACGCACCTCATCTGTCTTTTCACTTAAATAGAACGGCAGAGGACTCTTGGCTTTGCCACTTAGCAGTTGTCACTTGAGTAACCCCTCTGGGCTTCAGTTTCCTCCTTTGAAAAATGGGCATTGTGATAGTGCCTACCTCACAGAATTACTGTAAGCATTAAATGCAATCACATATTTAAAGTGCTTATGGGGCGCCTGGGTGGCTCAGTCAGTTAAGGCTCCAACTCTTGATTTTGCCCAGATCATGATCTCACGGTTCATGGGATTGAGCCCTGCGTTTGTCAGCACAGAGCCTGCTTGGGATTCTCTCTCCCTCTGTCTCTGCTCCTCCCCCACATGCACATGCTTGCACTCTCTCAGAATGGAGAAAAAAAATTTTTAATAAGTGCTTAGGACAGTACCTGGCGCATAATTAAGTGCGTAAAAAAATGGTAGCTATTGTTAACCTGTCTTACGTCAGGAGACTCCAAATCATCCTCATGTCTGGTAATATAATTAAGTTTTTCTTATTCTGTTCTCAGAATGAATGAAGAATGATTATGATCGTTCATGTCATTAACTTGTCATGAACTGTTTCAAGATAATCCCATTACATTCACCAGTAATTAGCTGAGCAGCGTTCATGATTGAACCAATTGAGACGAGTATATGAAGACATTTTTTAAACTCTGAAGTGCTATACCATGTAGTGACTATTTTAATTAATAACTATCATTTCAGTAGTTTCACTTGCCTTCTCTGCCAGTTCTCTATACGGTTCTTAAAAGGTATGGTTTTACAAAATTATTAGCATGGAGTTACGATTTCAGTATTCCGTGGCTCATTAAACTGGTGCTGAAAAATTCTAAAAGAGCACTTCTTAAAATGTTTGAGCCATGACAGCGTTATTAAATGGAAACACTGATTTGGATGAATATTAAATTCTGAGACACTTGTTCTGAGCAAACAAGCTTCTCTACTTTAACTCAAATCATTTTCTTAGATGTATAGCTTTGAGAAGATAAATGGTATTTAGTGTAAAAATATACACTTATGATTACGGTAAAAAAACAAAAACAATGAAACCACATGGAAAACAGTGATTTGTCGGCACAGTTGATTCAATTGGATTAGCGCCCTACCAGGACACTTTGGCCCCCTCCCTGTTTTTATATTATTTTTGCTTCCCTTCCCTTATGTTCTCTTATGTTTTGCCTACCAGGACACTTCGGGAGCAGGTGGCAGGTCTTGGGTTGTTCCCCCCCGCCCCCCAGACGTATTGCATTATTTTAAAGCTACAAATGTGTAGTGTTGGCTTTAACAGGACAGAGGTAACAAGCTTGTAGGTCTCAATTATAAGGGGATAATTGGCTAATCAAATCTGAGAAAACAATATTATATTAGACACAGCAGAAAAGACGGCGCTCCCGTACCCCTTACTCCTCCCCACCCTTTCTTTCCTAAATAGCGGTCAGCGAAACCATCCCGCGGTTCACATGGGAGCGGAGGAACAACCACGGTTAATCGCCCCTAGGAAGAGAGAAGAGAGAACCCGGCTAAGGGTAAAAAGGCGGCTCTGACTGCGCGTGCGCCCCCCCCCGCCCCCGCCCCCGCCCCCGCCCCCGCCCCCGCAAGGCTGGCGAAAGCGCCCTCATTAACCCTCATTGCTTGCGTAATAAGTGTGCGTCGGCGGGCCGCGCGTCCGGCGCATGTGCGGAGGGGCGGCATCCAACTGATTCTCGGAGGCGACAGGTTGTAGTTTTTGCTTGGGCCGGAAAGGGTCCCCTGGGGTTTCCTTGGCCGAGGGAAATAAGGGCGAACAATTGTGGAGGTGACTAAGATAAATTCCCCACTTTCATTATAGACTTGGAGGTGGGGTATCTTCTCAGCGTTAGGGACCCGGAGCTTGTGGGGGGTCCGAGGGCCCGAGCCAGCCTTGCCACGCTTTGTGCCCACTGGTATTAGGGATGGTAGGGCTGCAAAGGTGAGCACTCGTCTAAAGGTGGTGCTTCCTCTCTTTTTCCCCTTTTCCTCTCTCCCTGCTCTCCTCACCCAGTTGACTTGTCCTTATGTGTATGGGAGCCAGAAAACCTTGCGAAGTTCGGACCAAGCAGTAGCTTCTTCCTCGACGTGGACATGGCACAAGAGAAAATGGACCTAGACTTGGAGCTGCTGCCGAGTTCAGCCACCACAGACAACTCGCTGAAACGATCCAACAGCGCCCCTTTGATCAGTGAGCTTGGGTGAGCAGGCTTGAGATAGCAGGGGGTGGGTGGCAGGAGTTGGGGACAGTGACTTACGATAGCATTCCCATCCCTTTCTTCGTCGAGCTTCTGCAGCTATCTCCCGTGTTCCTGCTGTCTGGAGATCTCACACTCAGCCTTGGGGAGGAGTGGGTTGGGCTGGCCGGAGGGAGAGCGCACACCTACCCTGAGGTTGACACACGTGAACCTGAACGTACTCTTCTGACAGTCCACAGGGACCCAAAAGCAGCAACCTATTGGTGTGGAGCAGGACTTTTTCTAACTTCACCCCATCTCTTACCCACTCCTTTGAAGAAACTGAGTGTTCCCCACCCTTTGCCTCCAGATCTTCTGTAATGACTGTAATTTTTTGTCATTCTCTCAGCTGCTTTGTCACCTCTGACCTTCACCTCCAGCCATCAGAAAAGGTTGCCAAGCAACTAAGCTTGGGCCTTTTTTTACACCTAGTTTTTATTTGAACAAAAAGTTTAGGTACCACAGAAACTTGATCTCCTAAATGTTGCATCCTCAATGGCCGGTACTGCCCCCGACTTCGTTCTTGGGGGGAGGGTGGTGAAAAACATCTTGCCTTTTTATGTACAAACCACAGCTATACATACAAAAATTTTGTGTGAATTTTTAAGAGGGAGTAATTGGAGCGAAAATGCAAAAAAACCAAAAAACCCCGGGGGGGGGGCTCCTTAGAGGGGCGCCCGAGTGGCTCAGTCGGTTAAGCATCCAAATCTTGATTTCGGCTCAGGTCATGATCTCATGGAGCCTGCTTAAGATTCTCTCTCTCCCTTTCCCTCTGTCCCTACCCTCTCTTAAAAAAAGGGGGAGGGAAGACTCCTTTGAGGACTGATAATGGAAAACATAAGATTTAGAAACACTGACCTGATGGTTAACTGTTTTTCCTGCACATATCCAATATCTGGCATGGCACAAGCTTATAATTTCTTAAAATAGGGTTTGAAAGTGAGATCTTGGATCTCACATCATAGTATCATAAAGTTTTATCAGTATTGTAAAAATGTTTGAAAAATTCATTCACTTCCTGTGTTAGTAACTTTGTTCCTCGTTTTTGCTAGCATCATACTAATTGATAGGTATAAATCACAACAGTTAGAAGTGAACTCAGAGACCAGATCTACCCTCCTTATTTAATGTATGAGGAAACCGAGGCCCATAAGTCTCTAAAATGACGTAGTAGGGCAGTACTGTGTCTCCTGACTCCTAAGCTAGTGTTTTGTCCACTACTAATCAACTTCTAAGCTCATTAACTAACCAAATACAGCTTTCTGGTCATTTGAGGCAAAGGAGAATATACTGTTCCAAAAGGAAATGCAAACTAAGATTAATCAAAAAAATAATGCATTATCTTTTTTTTTTTAATTTTTTTTTTAACGTTTATTTATTTTTGAGACAGAGAGAGACAGAGCATGAATGGGGGAGGGTCAGAGAGAGAGGGAGACACAGAATCGGAAACAGGCTCCAGGCTCTGAGCCATCAGCTCAGCCCTGACGCGGGGCTCGAACTCACGGACCGCGAGATCGTGACCTGGCTGAAGACGGACGCTTAACCGACTGAGCCACCCAGGCGCCCCTGCATTATCTTTTTTAATAGGCAGATAGAAAAATAAGGGGGAGGCAGCTGTTCATGTTGAGCTGAAAACGAGAACATTCTATAAATTCAGCATAGACCCTAATCCTATTGTATGAAAAAATGAATTGCTATGGACCCACTCTGCTAGAAGAAAGCACTTGAGGAGAATGTTGGTTTTATTGGAAGCCTTTATGAAATGAAAAAACAAGTTGCAAGCAGTCCTAGAAACAAGGAGAGGATCGCAGTTATCCCTTCATGCTTTGTTTTGTTCTGCGAAGGATTAAAAGTTTTTATTTTTATCATATTAGAGCATGCTTACAGTGTCAAATTCTGTAGCTTAAGCTCCTGATGCATGAAGCGAAATTGGTACAGAAAGGTGAGAATCAGTTTACCTATTTATCTACGAGGAGTTAAAGATAAAGAAACCACAAGGTGAACCAAGTCCAGGGACTCTCATGTGTCATAAAGAAGTAACCCGAAGATGATATGTGACATGCCTGATGTCAGGGAACTTGGCCAAATGATCTCCTGAGGGCAGATTTTGTGCTGTTATGGCCAGTTTAGAGCATGGTCAGGAAAGTGACACGGCAGGGAAAACAATTTGGAGTAGAATTACACTAGAATTCAAGTTCACCTCCATTCTTTTTGGTTGTATATGTACACTGCTCACTTCCCTCGCTTTCTCACTAAATTGAGCCTCTAATACTTGTCTTGCCTCTTTCACTGCTCATTAAATATTGTTGCACTTCTTTCAAGTAATTTTCCAATTTTGCTTGATGCTTCCTGTGTATGAACACAATCTCTTGCACCAGTATTCGCAGAATTTGTTCCTTAAATATTAACTCTTTAATATAAGAATTACTGTTTTTTTTTCAAAAAAGTTCCTGCACTGTTTTGTGTACATCTCGTATTAATAAAAATACTGATGTCAGGGGCGCCTGGGTGGCTCAGTAAAAATACTGAGCCTGGGTGGCTCAGTTGGTTGGGTGTCCGACTTTGGCTCAGGTCATGATCTCACCGTCCATGAGTTCGAACCCAGTGTCAGGCTCTGTGCTGACAGCTCAGAGCCTGGAGCCTGCTTCCCAGTCTATGTCTCCTTCTCTCTCTGCTCCTCCCCTGCTTGCTCTCTGTCTCTCTCTGTCTCAAAAATAAATAAAAACATTAAAAAAAATTTTTTTTAATCAAAAATACTGATGTCAAAACTTTTGAACCTCTTGGTTCTTTATACCCTTTAGCCATCTACTTGTCTGACTTCACTACTGGTGTCAATAACCTTATTTAAAGGTAGTTGTTTTTTTTTCCTTTTACTTCTCTGGCCCTTTGAGTATTAGTAAGTTCTGGGATTTCTGCCAGTGCCTTCCCCCTGTAAATACCTCTAGTCTGGCCCTGCATTTAAACTGTTTGAAAGTCAAACTACTACCTGTGGGCCAAATCCAGCCTGCCATTTGGTTTTGTAAATAAAGTTTTATTGGAACATAGCCGTGCCCATTTGCCTACTTGTTGCCCATGGCCACTTTCCTACTACAATGACAGAGTAGCTGCCACAGAGATTGTATGTCCCACAAAGCCCAAAATATGTACTGTCTGGCCCTTTGCAGAAGAAATTTGCCAACTATCTGGCTTATTTAAATTCGTACAAACCTGGAAAGACAATAGTGGCTGTAGTGAATGATTGCTTTGGGGATATAACTAGCATAAACATCTTGTAGCTTAGATATTTAGACAGAGCTGCTTATTGCTCATCTGATGTGGTGCATTGAACCTGTATCTAGTTATAGTGTCTTTACTTTAAGTTGTAGCACTTAACTCAGTTGTAGGTATCACCTAGGATTTTATGAATTCATGTTGAGTGACTCCTACCTATTGAAATCTATGCTTCCTCAATGATTTCTTTCAGTTATAGTCTTATTAAAATTGAGTGACAAAATTTAGGGGAAAATATAATTGCCAGCCTTAAGAATTACCCTCACATACAAGAGTGCAAATATGTAACCCATTAGTGTCCCTCCAGCTTTCTTGTGACTGCTAGAATATTTTCCTGTTCTCATAGAGAAAAATGATCGGAAAAGGAAGTAAACATTAGACCCATACCACATATCCCCTCATAAAATATTGAGTTACTACCTGTTATATACAAATTACTATGCCGCAAAGATGTATTATGACTCAGTAAGCTTTTAATTTAATAGGGAAAATAAATAATCAAAGGATTTAAATATATGATAGACTAAGATCTGTGCTTAGGGAGGGAAAGAAAGTGCTAGGGAGATGCAAAGAAGGGAGTGAGAAATGACAGTAGGATTGAGGGATGAGGAAAATGTTCTTGGAGAGGAGGCATATGAGATGGATTCTGATGGATCGATAGGATACAGACGGGAAGAGGGGAGCCGGAGAGCTGGGACAGCATTCCAAGAATATGCTGAGCCTCGAGCCTGCCTAAGATTCTCTCTCTCTCTCTCTCTCTCTCTCTCTCTCTCTCTCTCTCCCTCTCCCTGTCCCTCTCCCTCTCTCCTTATCTCTCTCTCTCTCTTTCTCTCTCAGTCTTCCTTTCTCCCTCTCTCCTCTCCTCCGTCCCTCTGCCCTTTGCACCTCTCCCCCACTCTCACGCAGGTTCAAAAAAAAAATGTCCTCTTGTAAGTGAAGTGATGGTGTTGGTAAATGGTGGGATTTAAAAACAATTTTTTTAATGTTTATTCATTTTTGAGAGAGCATGAAGCGGGGAGGGGCAGAGAGAGAGGGAGACACGGAATCCGAAGCAGGCTCCAGGCTCCAAGCTGTCAGCACTGAGCGCAACCCGGGGCTCGAACTCATGAGCTGGGAGATCATGACCTGAACCGAAGTCAGACGCTTAACCTGCTGAGCCACCCAGGCGCCCCTGGGATTTTTTTTTTTTTTTTGATGACTTTACTTCACAACAGAAAGTTGGTAGCAACTGTACGTTTGTGCCAAGATTTTGTTTTGAAATCTTACTAGTTCATCACATCCAAAAGTCTAGAGCTAAAGTGTGGAGGGCTTTGAATGTCATAGTAATGAATGTAATTAAATTCAGCCCACGGTAATGAAGAGAATTACTGAATATTGTGAGCAGGAGAGCAAGCTGTCCTTCAGGAAGGTGACCTGGTAGTCTGTTAGGTAGATTGTGGCAGGGGCAAAACTGAGATGAAGTGACAAATGAGACTATTGCAAAGTCCGCAGGAAAGTAAAAAGGCTTTGAATTGGTTTTTGGCAGGGAGCCTAAAAAGAATAAGATGGCCCTATGAGCAGCTACAGAGGAAAAACCCGAAAGACTTGACACCTGAGTGGATATGGCAAAAATGAAGGAAATGTTACCAATGACTTTTATCCTCCTCGGGGAAACCTGGGTGAAAGGTACACGGGAACCCTCTATAGTCTAGCAACTTATTGTGAGTCTTCAACTGCTTCAAAATAAAAAGTTTTAAAAAAAGACATAAAGGGGCACCTGGATGGCTCAGTCGGTTGAGCGTCCGACTTCGGCTCAGGTCATGTCTCACAGTCCGGGAGTTCGGGCCCCGCGTCGGGCTCTGTGCTGACAGCTCAGAGCCTGGAGCCTGCTTCGGATTCTGTGTCTCTCTCTCTCTCTGCCCCTCCCTTGCTCATGCTCTGTCCCTCTCTGTCTCAAAAATAAATACAAACATTTTTAAAAATTAAAAAAAAAGATATAAAAAGGAGAAGATGTTTTCAGGGTCCCAAGCCCAAATAAGGCCGAGGCGCCATCGATGCAGAGAAAGACGAGCCCCATCTTCAGCAGGCAGCGGTTGCTTGGCTTCAGCCTGTGGTTGCCACGTGGGAACGTGGCCCGGTGTGGCCACGTCTTGCAGAGTTTTCAAGAGAAGCTAGAAATCCGGAATCTGGATTATTTGCGTGAACCCTGTTAATGTTTTGAGTGTGTGCAACTAAGTTAAAAACATTTTCATCAGGGGCGCCTGGGTGGCGCAGTCGGTTAAGCGTCCGACTTCAGCCAGGTCACGATCTCGCGGTCCGTGAGTTCGAGCCCCGCGTCAGGCTCTGGGCTGATGGCTCAGAGCCTGGAGCCTGTTTCCGATTCTGTGTCTCCCTCTCTCTCTGCCCCTCCCTCGATCATGCTCTGTCTCTCTCTGTCCCAAAAATAAATAAACGTTGAAAAAAAAATTTTTTAAAACATTTTCATCAAGCAAAAGATACCTGTGAAAATCTCAGTTCTGTCGACCTCTACCGGTTATCCCTCTTGTTCGTGTGAAAGCTTCACACGGAGGAAAGCTTCGAGAGGGAGTTGGTATCACACATGGTAGCTTCAGTCATAAATTTAAGTCAGTTACAGGTTTACACAGAAAATGGTGCATTTCCAAGGCCACAATAAATTATACTTATTCTTGGTAGCATGACTAGAGGTAAAGTGGCATGCTTGAAAATTTCTTCCCTTACAGGGACACTTGTTTAGGCTCAGCCAACTAAGGCTGTGCATGTGCACGTGCACACATATTGCAATTTATCCATCTGCACAACTGGCGCCCCAAAGAAGCCATTTACGTTAATGGCATTGTTTCTTAAGTATTTGGAATCTTATTTCTTTAAAAAAAGTTTTGTAATGGATTTTAAATGTTTTCCTTTTTTTCATAGTGATAATTCACAGGTATTCCAAGCTGACACGTTAACAACTAGAAGAAATAGCACAACGCTTATGACCCAACAATGTCTGGTAAGAAAATGCTTGTAGCAGCCTCACTTGGCCAAGACTTGTGTAGTTGGTTTTAACTAGTGCTTCTCAAACTTGAGTGTGCACCTGGAAGGCTTATTAACATAGAGTACTGGCCCTCAACCCCAGAGTTTCTGATTCTGGAGATCTGGGGCAGGACCTGAGAATTTGTATTTCTAGCAAGTTCCCAATTTGAGAAACACAGCTCTAAACATCACTGAAGGAAAAATAAACACGGTGACTACAGTTATGATTGCTTTGCTGCAGCTGCAGCAGAGTTAACTTTTAAATCCCATGTGGATTTAACATTGAGATTTGTTATGTATAAGACCATCTGGCTTCCAATTTTTAAAAGAATGTCCTAATTTTGAGAGGAAAATTTGCAGGCTCTCTTAAGAATAGTTTTTAGGCTTTTAGTTTGACTTTTATCTCACATTTATCTTGAATTGAAAATAAAGTTTGTTTTTCATGGTGTTAAAATGTAATCTCTAAATTATTACTCTCACTTAACTAATTACCCTATAAATGTAGGTAATAGCTTGTAGATCAGTAAACCAAAATGAACAAATGATTTACTAAATGAATCTCTTTATTGATGTGAAATTCATATAATATACAGTTAACTAATTGAAAAGTATTCAATTCAGGGGCATTTAGTGCATTTACAGTGTTGTTCAACTACCACCTCTCTCTGGTTTCAAAAAGCACACACTCTTATCTTGTTTTCCAGGTTGAAGGCTTTCAGTCTTTCATCACTGAATATGATATTACCTATAGGTTTTGGTAAATGCCCTCTATCATGTTAGGGAGGTTCCTTTCTATTCCTACGTACTTGAGTATTTTTATCATCAAAGCATTGGATTGTTTCAAACGCTTTTCCTGCATCTATTGAAATAATCATGTGGTTTTTCCCCCCTCTGTTCTGTTAACATGATGCATTACATTGATTTTCTTTTATGGAACCACATTTGCATTCCTAGGATAAATCCCACTTGGTCTTGCTGTATGATCCTTTTAATGTACTATTGGATTTGGTTTGCTATTACATTGTTGAGAATTTTTCCATTTGTATTCTTCATACGCAATGTTGGTCTGTAGTTTTCTTTTCTTGTAGTGTCTTTGCTGGCTTTGGTATCAGGGTGATGCTGATCTCATAGAATGTGTCAGGAAATGTTCCTCCTCTTCTATTTTTGGAAGAGTTTGAGTAGGATTGGTGTTGATTCTTTAAATGTTTGGTAAAATTCACCAGTGAAGCTATATCTGACTTTTCTTTGTTGGGAGGGTTTTGAAACAGATTCTATCTCTGTACTTGTTTACAGATCTATTGAGGTTTCCTATTTTTTCTTGAGTTTGTTTGGTAATTTATGTGATTTTTAGGTATTTGTCCATTTCTTCTAGATTACCTAATTTGTTGACGTATAGTTGTTCATAGATTTCTCTTACGTGATTTTTTAGTGAAATGTTATAGCTTGGAACCCATTTTAAAATAATGCCTCCTGATCTTGCAACTGCATACTTTCCTCTTTGTAGAATGGTATCCAATATTATTTCCCCCAATGCACTAATATTATACCAGGAAAAAAATAGAATTGTTCGTTAAACAAATCTTCCTGCTTTTACTCATTCATTTATTTACTCATTCATTTAACAATATTTATTGACTGCTTGCTTCTCCATCAAAGCCCTCCCTACCTATTCATTCTTCTTTTCTACTCAGCCAAGCCAACAAATATTTTTAGGAACCTCCTATGTATTAAGCCCTGATCTAGTTGCCAGAGAGATCTAACCTAGTTTGAGGGGTTGAGGGAGGAAATGACCTCTCTTAGTTGAGATCTTACTGATGTGTAGGAGTTAGCTAGCTTGGGATGTGGACTATAGGAGCAGACAGTACTCCAGGTAAAAAATGACACGTGTAAAAGCCTGGAAATGAAAAGGAGTATGGTGTGTAGAGAATTTGAAAGAAGTGCATTCTAGCTAAAGTGGAAGTAAGGATGAAGTGGGGAGAGATGACATTGATTGGACACATAGATTAGTGCACCATCTCGTAGGGCCTTCCAAGTCGTGCTAAAGATTTTTCACTTTGTCCTTCTAAGGTCAATGTGAAGCCACTGAAGAATTCTAAGTCTGGGACTGACATGACCGGATTTGCATCTTTGAAAGACTACCCTGGCTGCAAAGCGGTAAGTAGATTGGAAGTGGGCAAAAGGAAATACAGGATGATCAGATAGGAGGCAGCTGCGGTGACCCTGGCTACTGCGATGGCCGTGAGCATGGAGGAGAGTAGGAGATTCGGGAGATATTTGAAAGGTAAACTCAATTGTTGATAAATTTGATGGAGGGTGGGCAACGGTGGAGGCAAGGATGACTGCTAGGCCTCTGGCTTGGGCAGTTGATGGGTCGGTGGGGCCACAGAAGAAGGGAACATTGGCAGAAGAATGGATTTGGAGGGAAGACGAGTTTAGTGTTGGACATGTTAAATTTGAAGTTCTCTGGGATCTCTAAGTGAAGATGTTAGTTGCACTGATCTCAGTACCACGGAGTTTGAAGCTCAGTTTGAAGGAACAGTTTGAAGCCCAGGATAGAGATCTGAGCTAAAGACACATGTTTAGGCACCATCACTGGATCGTTAATTAAAGCTCTGGGAATGCATGCTATGACCTATGCAGAAAGTCTAAAAGAAGAAAAGAGGCTACAGGAAACAGCTTTAAAGATCACCAGTAGTACCATGAAAAGACACGGAAAAGTATTAAGTTATATGCTATCGAGTGGCCAGAGAGCAAGTACTTAAGTAATACTTAAGTATTAAGTTATAAAGACTGAAGGATGTCCTTTGAGTTACCAAAATGGAGATTATTAATGAATTTCTTGTATTTGAAAGCAAATTCTGTGGAGAGAGGAGTGGGGTGAAATGAAGCCAGATTGGATTGGGTTGAAGAATGACTGAGAAGAAAGGACTTACAAAGGGTATTGTATATACTAGCTTGGTTATTCGGGTACACGTTACCCTTTCTATGTGCTAATTTCCTCATCTGTAAAATGGGAATGTAACCGTATCTGCCTCATAGGTTTGTTGAAGTGAGTACATTAATCAGTGTAAAATATATCCGTAAAACTGGAAGAAAAAGAGAAACTTACAGCACATAGCACAACAATGTGAATATACTTGACACCACTGAACTGGTACATTTCCACGCAGTTAAGATGGTAAATTTTATGTTATGTGTATTTTCACATAGTTTAAAGGGGAAAAATGCTCACAGCATGTAAAAAAAAATCAGTGTAAAGCACTTAGCACAGCATTGACACATACTAAGTGCTCCACAAATACTATTAATTTTTTTAGTTTTATTAGTAATGGTACATATATAGAACAGACATGTACCTGGCATTTTTTTAAATGCATAATTTTCCTTTGGAATTCTAGGCTTTTAATTTGCATAATGTTCAGTTTAATATAATGTGTGTTTTAAAACAAACCATCTTATATAAGAGGTTGTGTTTGGCACGACTGACGTCATTTACACTTACCTGATGACAGGAGTTTCAAGGCTTATTGGTTTCACTTGCTGTAACAGCATGATGCATGAGGTTTTATTTTGTTCAAAGTCTGCACTTCATTATTATTGTGAGACTTATGTAGGTTTATACTTGCTTTCGGGATAGATAGGCCGAATTGTCTGGGAGAATGACAGATAGTTGGGATGCTTTTGGCAGAAGTAACAAAATCCAGTTAGAAGCAGCTTAAACTCTAAGGGAATTTATTATCTCCAATAACAAGAAATCTTAAGGAAAGGAGCTTCCAGGGTTGGTTAATTCAGCGGCTCAGTGATGTCATCAGACACCCAGGTTCCTTCTGTCTTTCCACTCTGCTACCCTCAGCAGCCTCACTAAACTTTGTACCTAGTAATTAGACGTAGGGTTCAGAATCCTATGTATAGCATGAGCTTGCATGTATTTACAGATGTTGAGAAGGATATGTGTCAATCTATCAGTAGTTATTTCTGGGGCATGGAATTATAGGAAGACTATTAATTTATAGCATTTCTATACTATTTGCTTTTCACAAAGCATCAGCAATACAGGTGTTTTCATTTCCTTTTTTTAAATTTTTTGTAATGTTTATTCATTTTTGAAAGAGAGAGACAGAGCACAAGCAGGGGTGGGGCGGAGAGAAAAGGGGACACAGAATCCGAAGCAGGCTCCAGGCTCCGAGCTGTCAGCACAGAGGCCGACGCTGGGCTCGGACTCACGATCCGCGAGATCATGACCTGAGCCGAAGTCAGACGCTCAACCAACTGAGCCACCCAGGTGCCCCCAGGTGTTTTCATTTCTAGCTGATATATCACATCACAAATTAGAAACATCATTCTTGAAAAAATACATGTATTATTGAGTGATAACATGAATCATAAGTTTAAGGGTCCTACCCTATACTGGACTGTCCTTAAAATTGGCGTGGCCAGAACCTAGAGTAGCCAAGTTCATACAGACAGAAAGTAGAATGGTGGCTGCCAGGGGCTAGGAGGAGGGTGGAATGAAAAGTATTTAGTAGGTATAGAGTTTCGCTTTTGCAAGATGAAAAGAGTTCTGGATACTGGTTGCACAACAATATGAATGTACTTAACACTATTGAACTGTACATTTAAAAGTGGTTAAGATGAGAAGTTTTATGTATATTTTAACACCATTAAAATTTCTCAGGGGCACCTGAGTGGCTCAGTCGGTTAAGCATCCGACTTCGGCTCAGGTCAGGATCTCACGGTTCATGAGTTCGAGCCCCATGTCGGGCTCTGTGCTGACAGCTCAGAGCCTGGAGCCCACTTCAGGCAGGGCTGTGTCTCCCTCTGTCTGCCCCTCCGCTGCTTGCACTCTGTCTCTTGCATTGTCTCAAAAATAAATAAACATTTTTTAAAAATTTAAAAAAAATTTTCATGTATTTCAGTGAAGGTGAAAGTGTTTTAGGAAAAATTGCAGTGGTAGAAGGTATTGAAGAACCATGGGTGCCCTTTAACATGCAGATAAAGATGTATATTTCCAAACCTTGTAAAAATCTGCTGTCTCACAATTATTTTCTGAATTAAGTGCCAATATTTTCCTCCCCACTCTCAGAAAATCACTCCACCCCACTTCTGATGATCAGAAACTTGAGGCCCTCTTTTTTTCTTTTAAAGTAGGCTCCACGCCTAGCATGGAGCCCAATCTGGGGCCCAAACTCACAACCCCAAGATCAAGTCCCGAGCTGAGATCGAGTCAGATGCTTCACCAACTGAGCCACCCAGGTGCCCCCTGAGGCCTTCTTCTGACTGTGGGGACCATGCCGTCCCCCCAAATTATCCCTTCGCTGTATCTCCTAAGAACTCCAGGGTTTGCATGCCTGTTCCCCACCCTTCCACTAGGAATTCACTTCCTGGCACCCCTGTTTAATTTGGTTTAGCTACATCTCCTCATCTCTACCCCCACCTTCTCAAAACAGAGCAGGAGAAATATTTCATCTTCCTCTTGGAAATGATTGTGATTTTCTTGAGCAGTTTGTCCATTTTAATGTTGTGACTACTGATATTTGTCTGATTAGGGTTTGCTTTTCACATTGGCAACTACAAACTAAATTTAATTTATGGCCCACCCAGTAGTGAGTGTATAATACATTCCTGGCCCTGCTTTATGCTCGGTCTTGCTAGCCTGCATTCAATTCATGTTCAGAATCAGTCACTGCAGGAACTAGGCAGAGGCATTCGTAAACACAGCACACAACTCTTGTTCAGGATTTTTTAAGTGCTTTATCTCTAGTAACTACAGAAGGAAAATGGGTTAAAATTAGCAACTGTAGTCAAGTTAAAATTCTTTCCAAAGAATTTGATGTCTTCACAATATTAATTTTCTGTGGTTTCTCTTTTAAATGGAAATGAGCTTGATCTTTCTTATCGTAATTCCTTCACTGGAGGTAATGCTTGGGAATCAGCTTCACCCAGCACTCACCCCAACGCCCCTCCTCCTCCCCACCCCCATGACATCATTCCTTGGTGCTGATACTCTTGCTTCCTCCCGAGGACTTTTTCCCCCTAGAGTGTGAGAGAAAGGCACAATGAGAAATTGATACAAAAGATACCAGTGAGGTTTATTGAGATCTCAGGAAATGCTTTATTTCTATTTTAGTACCTTGTTTCATGTAGTAAAATTATCTAAGGTAATTCCCTTGCAAACACCACCTGTAGTACTTAACCTGTGGGAGATTCTCTTCCAAAAGCCTTCTTTTCTCCATTTAATTTTCCATGTCATTCCTAAAAGAATCAGCCAAGTCCAGTCCACATTTTGTCCAGTGTAAGAACCTTCCTGTGGCTAATGATTCAAATCCTACCTTCCCGAGACATTCACACTACATTCCTGTTGATCTCCTCAGTTGCAGTCAGGCAGTCTTCCTGGGATTTCCTAGATAAAGTTTTCCAGTATGAAATTCTTTTTTTTTTTTTTTTTACAAAATTTTTTTTTTAAGTTTATTTATTTTGAAAGAGAGAGCAAGCGTGCACAAGCAAGCAGGGGAGGGGCAGAGAGAGAGGGAGAGAATCCCAAGCAGGCTCCGCACTGTCAGCACAGAGCCCAGTGCAGGGCTTGAACTCACAAAACAGAAGATCAAGGCCTGAGCCAAAACCAAAAGTCAGACACTTAACTGACCCAGCCACCCAGGCACCCCACAATGGGAAATTCTAGGCCTTTACCTGAAACTAACCAGTTTCTTCCTAACCCTTAGATATCAATTAAAAATAATCTCTTCCGGGAAGTCTTTCATAGTTTAGAACAGTTTGCCACAGCATGCAATTCTCTTATTTTGTTTTTAATAACATGTCGTCATAATACAGCTCAAGTACCATAATTTCTTTATATAGAGCATATGTATATATTTATATTCAGCTTAGCGTGTCTTTCCAATTAGATTATAAATCTTATAAACCTGAGTGTTTCACATTTTGTATTACCTTTCTGGGCATTTGAATGATGACAATATGAGAATCAGTAGCATGAATTAAATGTATTAAAATTCTGCTTGTTCAAAGTGTGTGTGGGGGGGATGGGTGTGGGTGCGTGTGTGTATTTGATGGGGCTTTTTAGGGGCAAACCTATATTTTCAGTTTTGGTGCATGTCACTGTATAACAACTTCTCAGTGATCAATGCTAATAAAGGGAA